TCCCAGAAAGGGACCTTGACATCTGTTCCTCAGCAGTGTGTAAGTTCATCCAAATTATTTAGACAGTGTTTGATCCCTGGTTAATGATTGTATATTGAGAGCAGTGTTTGTTGCAGGGACAATTTAGCTTGGCAATGCACAATGGTAAAATGTTAATTTTTTTCTATTCATCTAAACTTTAGCTTTATCCTTTTCTAGCTGCCTGAGCCAGGTTACCAAACCTTTCTTGAGCTTCAGTTTTTATGTCAGAAAATGTGGATCATAACAGGGACATATGAACAGTGGTGATATCTATCAATACCTATCTTGTGGGCCTGTTGAAGGAAGTCATATTTGTTCGATATCTTGTCACTGGTAACTAAAAACTCATTAGATGACCATCAAGAGAATACTACATACCCACAGGATGAAATATAAATAAGGCTATTCACCTCTTTTGTACAACTTTACTTTTTTACTTTTTTTTTTTTTGGTTGTGGGGCTTAAACTCTGGGCTTGGGCACTATCCCTCAGCTCTTCAGCTCAAGGCGAGCGCTCTACCACTTGATCCACAGCACCACTTCCGGTTTTCTAGTAGTTTTTATTGGAGATAGAGTCTCACAGACTTTCCTGCCCGGGCTGGCTTTGAACTGCAATCCTCAGATCTCAGCCTCCTGAGTAGCTAGGATTACAGGTGTGAGCCACCGGCACCTGGCTTACTTTTTAATTTTCTAAGTTTTTTTGTTTTTGTTTTTTGTCTGTCATGGAGCTTGAATCAGGGCCTGGGCACTGTCCCTGAGCTTTTTGCTCAAGGCTAGTGCTCTCACTTGAGCAACAGCTTCACTTCTGGTTTTTTGGGTAATCTAGTGGAGATTAGAGTCTTACGGACTTTCCTGTGGGGGCTGGCCTGGAAATGCAGTCTTCAGATCTCAGCCTCCTAAAGTGCAGCTAGGATTACAGGTGTGAGCCACTTACTCCCTGGGGCATTTTCATAACCAAGACATTATCCCCCAGACCCAAACTAGGTTCTAAGGAATAATCGAGGTGTTTTAAGAACATAGTGCCCATATTCTTTCTTTTTATTAAAAATGAAAAGGCAAATGTTTCATATATCAATGCCATGCTAAGTGACAGCCCAGCCCAAAGACCACATACATGGGTCATTAGCACAGCCACGTGGACAAGGGCAGTCCCCAGCTTCCTGCAGTCATCTTGTCAGGTGCGGAGCTCCTGCCTGAATTACTCAGGGTGCGTGAGAGAGCAAATTATTGAGGCAACAAAGCTGAAAATGTGAGCAAATTAGCATTTGTTTCATAGCAAGATCGTTCATTGTGAAGGCAATTCAGAATGATTTAAATGTGTCTGGCTTCTCATCCCTCCACTACACAATAAGCCTCCTTGCTGGCAAGCACAAGTACGTGCACTAATTTAATCAAGATCCTTGTGCACATTGACAGCCATGGCAGCTGACACAACTGATCCTTTGAAATGCAGGCTGAGTTCACAGACCCAGACTTGTAATTTGTGCCAAAAATATGTATTTGAGAAGACACAACAGTGTCTAGTTGTTGTTGTTGTTTTTCTTTTAAAATTAATGCTAGAGGGATGGAAGGCAAGAGGGGCAAAGGGACTTTGCTCCATTTCCTTCTTGGACTAAAATCTCTCAATGTACGGAACCTGAACAGTTTGCAAGGCACTGACATTTCTTCTGCCTTCAGTGATTCGTTGGTTCTATAAATTGAGTGCAGGTCAGGGAGCACTGTGGGATGATGAGTTTGTAAGCATCCTGGTTCCAAGCTGCAAATGGTGTGCTTTGGAATATGGATATATATACACACACACACACACACACACACATATATATATATGTCACTTACCTAAAGGACAGCCAGGCGGAGGGTCGGCTAGCAGAGCAGTGTAGTCTGAGCAAACAAAATACCATAGCTTTGCAGAAACCGTTCCTGACCACAAGACTCCTAGCAAAGCTTGCTCTGACTCAGGCTGATTCTTCAGCCAACACTGGAGGTGAGCGCACACACAGGGGATGAAGGTCTAGGCACAAGTACACACAATGAGTCAATTCACTGCATTTCCTGCACAGTCTCTCAGCTTAAGGATCCTGGGGAGTCATGCTGGACCCCCATTCCAAGGCCATAGGACAAGGATGGATTTCCAGGGACACCCTATCATGAGGAGACTGCCATACTATATATATGTATGTGTGTGTATATATATATATGTATGTATGTGTGTGTATATATATACACATATATACATACATATCCATATCTATATCCATATCTATAGTTTACCAGATTACTGGGGCTGTAAGTTGGACATTTTGATCATTGCCTTAATCATCATTTTGGGGGGGGTTGGACTAGGGCCTTGTGCTAGCTAGGCAGGTACTCTACTTCTGACCAAGGCCCCAATCCTTTTGGTTTTTTTACCTTGCTTGTTTTGGGATAGAAGGATTATGGTCCAGGCCAAAAAGTGAGACCCTATTTCAAGCTTCCTACCAGAGCTGGGTTGGCAAATGTGTAAGCAAGCCATCACATCCAGCTCCCCTCTCGTGTCTAGTCTTAACAAAACGTTTTGCCTAGAACTTCCATTCTCCTCAGTGGCTGGGATGACCACAGTGCCTGGCTCATTTCACTTCTGACTGGCCATGCACCACGAGCCTTGGCCAACTGAACAAGAACATGCATTGCCCACTTGATTCCCATAGCTTTATTTCACAGTCCCCAAGTGTCCTGCTCCAAGGTCTTCCTGTTCTTAGAAAGGACTACACAGATAAGGCTGGACTCCTCCATGACTAAGCTGGACTGAAGATAATTTTTGAGATGAAACATAGGCAGAACAGCTCCACCTTTGAGCAGGTGGTCCAAATGCTCTGTGCTACCTAACTTATTTCTTACTGGTCAGAATGGAAGAGACTGGTCTTGGTTGTACACTGGTTAATTCGAGTGGGACAATCCCAGCAGTAACTTTGGGCTGGTAGCACCTTTCACTTACTTCCCAGTTGGGTTTTCTGAACCTGAAAAAATGTCAGGCATGATGACTGTCTGCACAGTGCTGCCAGCAATCCGTGTGTGGCACCAACCTTGCCCTTGGCAGTACTGAACATTCTGGAGGGACCCTTCCACAAGAGGCATTACTGAAATCAAGCAAGTCACTGACTCCATGATTGCAAATCACATTCTTTTGAACAAAAAAATTCTAGATCTGGACAAAGAAACCCAGAAGGCCAGCACTAAAAGTATTGGTAGCAAATTTACCCTCCTTCTAGAAGAACACATCCTATAGAGGGAATCAGCAGACCCCTAGACTGTAATAGCAGTCAGTCCAGAAGCTTCTTTCTAAACATTCATCAAACCCAGAGTAAGTGCTTATGGAAATTTCCCTGGAATATGGGATTCCATTAGAAAAGTGGGTTGTGTGAATCTCTGTTCACTTCATTTAACATATTCCCCCCAGACCTCAGTCATTGCTTGGTATGAGGTGTGTAGAAGCTGTATAAAAGCTGCTTGGTATGAGGTGTGTAGAAGCTGTATAAAAGCAAAGCAGGCATGAGCTGGTAGCTCATGCTACTCAGGAGGTTGAGATCCAAGGATCGCGATTCAAAGCCAGCTGGGGCAGGGAAGTCTGTAAGATTCTTATCTCCTATGAACTACCAAAAACCCAGAAGTGGTGCTATGGCTCAAAGTGATAGAGTACTAGCCTTGAGCTAGGAAGCACAGGAACAGCACCCCTGCCCAGCGGTCAAACCCCATGACCAGAAACAAAACAAAACAAAAACAGTTTGGGGCACTTGCAACTGTGGTAATTCTTGTAACTAATTAGGGAATTAAGTATATCCATTAGTAAAAATCATGGTGTATTAGATTTAGCATAATAGAATGTTCCAGATAAACTCACCATTGCCATTCCGTGTACAGCTCAACCTCCATCTTTTATCTCATGTATGAATTCTGTTTCTGATCTCAATAATGCTATATCTAAGGCTACACAAGGTATAAATGTGTGCTTAGAACTGTATTTGAGAATTTGTAATTTGGTTGGCTGGTTTTCCAGCATGAGACGTCTTTTTAAATAATCAGTTGGAGAGAAATGCGCACACACTACACCAGGAAATGCAATTTCCAACATAAACAACTCAGAAGCCAAGAATCTGATTTGTCAAGGCTTATCATTATTAAACTTAGCCAGGATATTAACGTTCTGGTTGAAAGGCTTTGATTGTACACAAATGAACTAATTTTTAACACATGGCAAGAACAATAATTTTTTTATAAGATGAGTAAGGAATTCCTGTCATCACATATAACATTAATATTTTGACCTGGATCATTTTTCCTAAGTGGACCTGATTTTTTTGCAATGTGTCTTTCTCCAACCAGGTCAAGCTACAGTGGCTCAGCTACTATAGCCTATCATGCCTATCAATAATCCTCGCTGCTCAGGAGGATGTGATCTGAGGATCTCGGTTCAAAACCATCCCAGGCAGGAAAAGTCCCAGAGACTCTAATCTCCAATTAATCACAAAAAGCAGGAAGTGGAGCTGTGGCTCAAGTGGTAAAGCACTAGCCCTGAGCAAAAAGCAGCTCAGGGACAGTGCCCAGGTCCTATGTTCAAGCCCCAGGACTAGCACCAAAAAATTAAAAAATAAAAAGATGGAAAATGAGATTGGAGGACACAATTTCATATCTGCTATGCTATGAGGTCTAAAGTGCAAACTCTCTAGTTCTGGAAGGCTTTGAAATGCTGATTCCAGTCTTCTGGTGGGTTCTTAAACACCTTCTCAAATGACCCATTTTAATAACCCAAAAGCTATTATATAACGAGCAGTCATAATTTAGTCCAGGGCTCTGGGGGGACCCTCACAGTTCAGCAATGAATAGTTAATGCAGTATAATGTTTAGCAGGTTATTAGTTTTCACTATACAAATGCTGATCAGGGAACGCTTTTATAAGGTGTTTAAAAGCAAATGTAATTAACTGGTTGCATGCTTCTGTTACAGCTCAAATTGAAATTATTCCATGCAAGATCTGTGGAGACAAATCATCAGGAATCCATTATGGTGTCATTACATGTGAAGGCTGCAAGGTAAGCCTTTTTCATTGTTGTTGTTGTTTCTATTCATGTGTCCTCGTGGTGTCTATATTTTATTTCCACTCCGTCTAAAAATTCAACTCCTTGGAATGTGGAGTGATGAGAAATGAGTGACAGGCCAGAATAAACATGCTGCTGTTAAGTTACAATGAATGCCAACTACCAGATAAAGACTATTTTACTCTATCCGTCTAAGTAGCAGGAGACCAGAGAAATGTCTTTGGAGTTTGAACTCAGGCCTCACTATTAGGCAAGCACTCTACCACTTGAGTCACATGCCCAGCCTTTTTTTTTTTTTTTTTTTTTTGCTTTAGTTATTTTTCAGGTAGGTTTGGGCTAAAACATGAGATCCTATTTATGCTTCCATTGTAGCTAGAATGACAAGCACATGGCACCACACACAGCTTACTAATTGAGATAGAGTCTGGCCCAAGCTGGAGTGAAATAGTAGATGCTCCCAATCTTGGCCTCTTGAGGAACTGTAGTTACCAGCATGAACCACCCTGCCCAACCTTAAAAAGAGTTATTTTTGGGGCTGGGAAGGTGGCTCATGGTAGAGTGCTTGCCTTACATGCATGAGGCCCTGGGTTCGAATCCTTAGCACCACATACACAGAAAAAGCCAGACGTATTGCTGTGGCTCAAGTGGTAAAGCACTAGCCTTGAGCTGAAATGATCAGGGATGGACAGAGTTCAGGCCCTACAACCGACAAAAAAAAAGTTATCTCTGAATTTTTTTCCCTTTAATGGGTTGGCATACAGATACTGTTATGAAGATCTCATTGCCAGAGGTGTTCACATTGTTTTAGCATGGTTTAAATCTTTAAGCCACTCAGTTTCTTCATCTGTACAGTGGGTATAGTGCCCAGTCTTCCTAGAGTAGAATGAGAAACTCTGAATAAAAGGCCTACTAAATGGGAAAGGGCCATTTAAAATAGTATGGTTAATTTGTATGGATACTTGGATCTCATGGGCAGTGGTGGTCCATTCATAATGTAGGGATGGAAAATAAAGATGTTTATCCTCATAGGGAAACATGACTTAAACCCTTTTGCTTTGTTTTTTTGGGTCCGGTCGTGGGGCCTGAACTCTGGGCCTGGGCACTATCCCTCAGCTCTTCAGCCCAAGGCTAGCGCTCTACCACCTGAGCCACAGCGCCACTTCCAGCTTTTTTTCTTTTTGCTTATGTGGTGCTGAGGAATCGAACCCAGGGCCTCAGGCATGCAAGTCAAGCGCTCTACCACTGAGCCACCTTCCCAGCCCACAAACCCTTTTTGTGCTTGTATGGGAGGGACCTCCAGGCAATTTAGCAGACAAAGCAGCACAAAATAAACAGAAAAGAAGTGATTCAAATACACTGGAAGTGTCAGGGAGTTGGTAATGGATGCTGCCAGGCTGAAATTACCCCGATAGGCTTTTTGAAATAGAGGCAAAAAAAAAAAAAAAAAAGTCCACAGATCAGGCTTTGCTCCTTTTAGGGAAACTAGAAAGTACAATTATCAAATACAAAAATCACCCACAGACACAAGCCATGGTGGAGAGACTTCAGGGACATTTGTGTCATTGTTTCATCCTTTATTATGACTCATTTTAAACATCACAGTTTCTTCATTTAAGTTGATCATCTTGACATTTGCTCGTGTATGCATATATAAATGGTTGCTGTTAGCCAGTGGCTGGGCAGCTCATACCTATAATTCTTGATGTTAACAGTATGAGCTCTGAGAATCGAGGTTCAGTGCTAGCCTGGGCAAAAAAGTCCATGAGAGGCTTATCTCCAATTAACGAGCAAAAATCCAGAAGTGGAGGTGTGACTCAAATGGTAGAACTCCAGCCTTGAGAGAAAAAGCCAAGTGAGAGTTGAAGGCCCAGTACTGGGCACACACAGTGTTTCTTGATGATCCTTTCCTAGCGAAGTCTGAGATTTTGGCTACCCTCAAGCACGTGTAATTTTATTTTTAATCACCTGGCTTGTGGCAGAGGGGAGCTTGTTACTTAAGTTTGAGATTTTGAACCATTGATCTCTGGTGTTAAACCTCCAGGTGAGGCCTTGAGGTTCTAGCTTACTCCCCCACAAAAAAAAAAAAAAGAGGCCCTTTCTCAATGTTCTCTTCCTCAAAATATTTTTTAAAGGAAATATTGATGAGCACCAATGATTCACGCCTATAATCCCTGCTACTCAGAAGGCTGAGATGTGGGAATTGTGGTTCAAAGCCAGCCCGCAGGAAAGTCCATGAGACTCTCATCTCCAAGTAACAATTCACCAGAAAACCGGAAGTGGTGCTGTGGCTCAAGTGGTAGAGCTCCTTGAGCTGAAGAGCTCAGGGACAGCGCCTGGGCCCAGAGTTCAAGCCTCATGATCCCCCCCGCAAAAAAAGCCAGCCCAAAACATCTGGAAGATGTCAGGTACAAGGGAGTGATAGCTTGACAGCTGTGCCGTGTAGCTCACCCTCTGTCCCTGTGATACGGACTCTGCTAGAAATGGCAGAGCCATCCTTGTCAGTGAAGGCACATACACAGCAGTACCTACAAATTTGATGGTCTTTCCTGCCTGACCTATCACCAGGTGTCTTCTTAAAGGACGGGGGTCCCAGTTTTACTATCTGCACCTTCATTTTCCCCAAGAAACTCACCAGCTGAGTCTCACGGTCAGGCTCTAAGTGGTTCCATGGCACATAGGAAGAGCACGTGTGTATCTGGTGGAAGGGTGGGTGACGCTCAAGGGCTTCCACAGCCTCAGTTGGTGGGCTCAGTGCTTCTCTATTCACATAGGCCTCCAGAAGGTGTGCACTCATGCTCACTGTCCATGAAAAAATTAAAAGAGAAAGCAGATGGCAGTTATATGTCTTTTTCTAGATTCCTTTCCAGATCAAATACCAAAGTGTTTTTTTTTCTCCTGCTCAGTCGACATTCAACAATGAAGGCTTTTACAGAACTAAAATGATCTTATTCAGATTGAGACTATGCCCAGCCTAGGACTTGCACATTGTTATTGTTACTTTTGCATATTGTTCCGCATTAATAGTTCCCCTGCTTTAGCTAACATCTTGATTTCTAGAATGAAGAAACTTCTACCACTGATACTATTTATATCACAACCAACTGTCAATCGTGTATATTTGATAGTATACCATCTGACTAGCTACTGTAATTCTAACTAGATAAAGCCAATAGTTATCTAATGAGAGAGAAAGAGATGACCGCCGTTTTTTCTGTGCTAATCAGTTTGGGAGTACCTTTTTTTTGGTCAGTTGTGGGGCCTGGGCGCTGTCCCTCAGCTCCTCAGCTCAAGGCTAGCACTCTACCACTTGAGCCACAGCGCCACTTCTGGCTTTTTCTGCTTATGTGGTGCTGAGGAATCAAACCCAGGGCCTCATGCATGCAAGGCAAGCGCTCTACCACTGAGCCACCTTCCTAGCCCTGGGAGTACATTTTTAAATTGAATTTTTACTACTAACCTGAAACCACAAACACTAGAGAGCCTGTTCAGTGAACTAATTCATCCATTTGCCCACATGTTGGCTCAGGTAAACATTGAAAAATGGCAGACATTTTGGAGGCTCTTTGTCTTGTTTCTGGCTCCTCCCCAACTCACCCTCTTGATCTTCTCCTTTGCTACCTGTGGAGAAAAAACCCAGTGCTGCACCTATCCACTGACTCCACAGCCAGGCCACCTAGGGTGCAATTCCAGCTCTGAAATTTGCCAACATGAGCACCTTATCTAGCCATGCCAATATTATTTCTGAGATATGCCTATGAGTTCCGTAGAACCTGCTAGGAAATAATCTCTTAGGTCCATGTACCTCAGGTACTGGAAACAACCCATAGATCTACCAGGTATCACGACACACTCCTGTAATGCCAGTCTGCACTACGGTTAGACCCTAACTCAAAGACCTAGTCTTTCCCTCAAGCAGTTTTATAGATGGCAGACATGAGGAAACAAAAAGGAAGGTAAGTAGTATAGGGAGGACCAAAGAATTAGAGAAAGGCCGGTGGCTCATGCTTGTCATCCTACCTACGCAGGAGGCTGGAATCAGAGGAGCCCAGGTCAAAGCCAGCCAAGCTAAAAGTCTCTGTGAGACTCTTATCTCCAATTAACCACTCAAAAACCAGAAGTGGAGCTGTCACTCAAAGTGGGACAGTACCTAGGCCCTGAGTTCAAGCCCAGGATCAGCACGCACACACAATAAAGAATTAGAGAAAGGCCAAATCTGTGACATACAGAAGCCTGTATCCACAGGGCGGCTCAGAGGAGTGTGGTCCACCTGAGGACCGAACAGAGGACCAAGAGGGAGAACCTGCTCAGTGAGGGAGGACCAGGACTCTGGGCTAGAAATGCCAGCACAGAAATAGAGAAGGAAGTCTTAGTTATGTTTTATATTTACAGAATGGTGCACCACCCAGTTTGATGGACAGGAACAAGAGTCATTTTCTAGACAAGAATCTAATTTTTTAGGAGAAAGCATACACATTGATTTAATACTAATTTCCCATGGCCAAAGGATCCATCACAAAGAAATGAAACCCTAAAGTAAAACTTGATAGTCACTTAACTTTTGTATTGAATTGGACAGAGAATATTACCTTGTAAAGAAGCAACTAAAGGAGAAAAGATGTTTGGAACCTGTGCTGTACCAAATTGTGACTCCATGTCCCTTCCCCAGTATTTAAGGGGAATGCCATTTTGACAATGTTTGGGGCTCTTTTTCCCCCTTTAAAAAATTAGGGAAGGGGAAACAAAGGAGGAGGCTACAATGCTTGATAAGAAATGCACTCATCTTGCCCATGTAATTGTAACCACTCTGTACAGTATTTTCACAATAAAAGAAAAAAAATCAAGCTGCCTTAAAATTAAAAATGAATTTTATCCTTTCATAATAACAATGTAACAATATACAGCCACCCACCAAGCACAGTACTATTAGAATGCCAACCTGCAAGAGACATTTCTGAGATGGCAGAATGAATATTAGCCAGACACTGATGCCTCAT